AAATAAATTCACGTGTAAATCCTTTAAAAATGCTTAATGTTTATCCACTAATTTTAATAATAAATAAAAAAGAGGGAAAGGTTTTTCACATGTTAATAATTAATAAAAATAAAAATAGGGAATCAAACATTAAACTTGATCAAATGCCAAAAAACTTTAAAAATAAATATATTAATCAAGAAATTTCTTTTAAAGATTTTTTTAAAAAATATTTTTTATTTGAAATGTTTAAGTTAAATTTTTTTTTATTTTTTCCTATTTCCCGAAAGCAATTTTAATTAATAAAAATTTAATAAAAAAATTTTTTGCAAACTTTTTTTATTAATTATTCATAAAAAGACGATGCTTACAAAGAAAAAGCTTATAAGAATTTAAATTTAAAAATAAAGTAAAATATCTTTTTAAATTGCAAGAAAAATCAGAGGGCGTTAAACACAATGTGCGCAATTTCAAAGTAAAATCGCCAAAATGTAAAGCATATTTTTACTTATAATTCCTAAGGCTGTGCTGTAGGCGGCGTGGTGTAATGGCTAACACATCAGTCCGGTCTACTGAAGATGCTGGTTTGCACCCAGCCGCGGATTAACCTTTTGCACTAGCTAAAGGAGAGAAATAGCTATGCCCAGCTGCTTTACTGAATTAATTAAACAAAACCGTATGGGCCAGTAGCTAGAAATTTGAAAAATAAATTGAATAGCCCTCCGGAAATTTAAAAATTAAATTTTAAATTAAATTTCCATTTATTTTAATTAAATTTTTTAAATAAAAAATTTTTTTTATTTTCCAATCAATTATTCAGACAAAAAAAAATTTTACATTTTGCTTGACAATAAAAAAATATTTACAATGGAAGTGGAGGAAGGGGGGATGTGGAGTGAGAGGGAGAGGTGGAGTAAGAGGGAGAGGGGTTAAGGAGGGGGAAGGAAGAGGGAAGGAAGGAGGAGGGAGTGAAAAATATTTTTTAAAAATCGAAGAGGCACTCTGAATTTTTTAAAAAATTAAAAAAAAATTTTTATTATTTAATATTTGCTTTAAAAATATTTAAATTTTCTTGCAAAACTTTTTGACCTTTTAATTAAAAATCATATTAATTATATATATCAGACCTCACTAAGAAATTTTTCCATAATTAGATAATACTCAGCTAAGTATGTATTATTTTTAAAAGTTAAGCACCCGATGGGGGAGTTGTTTTTCGGTCGGAGCTTGGAGTAGAACTTGAAAAATAAATATCACAGCCGCAAGAAATTTAAAAATTAAAAATTAATTTTTAATTTCCATTTATTTTAATTGATTTTTAAATTTAATTTTTAATTGTCAATCAATTATTTTGTAAATATATACACAAAAAATTAAAAATTTTAAAGACAATAGAATATATTTAATAAGGAAGTAGCAGGGAGGAAGAGAGAGGCTTCCGCCCATTCGCAAACCTCCCCCTCCCACTCCCTCCGATAAATTTCCGCCCATCCTCACAAACTTTCTCACTCCCGTCCACCTCCTCTCATCTTCCTCCTCCCCCCTCCCACTCCCTTCGAGAAGCTTCCGCCCATCCTCACAAACTCTCTCACTCCCGTCCACCTCCTCTCATCTTCCTCCTCCCCCCTCCCACTCCCTTCGAGAAGCTTCCGCCCATCCTCACAAACTCTCTCACTCCCGTCCACCTCCTCTCATCTCCCTCCCTCCCCCTCCACCTCCCTCCGAGAAGTTTCCGCCCATCCTCACAAACTCTCTCACTCCCGTCCACCTCCTCTCATCTCCCTCCTTCCCCCTCCCTCCGAATTTCCGTCCATCCTCACAAACTCTCTCACTCCCGTCCAACTCCTCTCATCTCCTCCCCTCCCCTCCCACTCCCTCCGAGAAGCTTCCGCCCATCCGCAAACTCTCTCACTCCCGTTCACCTCCTTCCCCTTCCCCTCCCACTCCCTTCGAGAAGCTTCCGCCCATCCTCAAAAACTCTCTCACTCCCGTCCACCTCCTCTCATCTCCTCCCGTCCCCTCCCACTCCCTCCGAGAAGTTTCCGCCCATCCTCACAAACTCTCTCACTCCCGTCCACCTCCTCTCATCTCCCTCCCCTTCCCCTCCCACTCCCTTTGAGAAGCTTCCGCCCATCCTCACAAACTCTCTCACTCCCGTCCATCTCCTCTCATCTCCCTCCTCCTCCCCTCCTACTCCCTTCGAGAAGCTTCCGCCCATCCTCACAAACTCTCTCACTCCCGTTCACCTCCTTTCATCTCCTCCTCCCCCCTCCCACTCCCTTCGAGAAGCTTCCGCCCATCCTCACAAACTCTCTCACTCCCGTCCACCTCCTCTCATCTCCCCCTCCCCCCTCCCACTCCCTTCGAGAAGCTTCCGCCCATCCTCACAAACTCTCTCACTCCCGTCCACCTCCTCTCATCTCCCTCCCTCCCCCTCCACCTCCCTTCGAGAAGCTTCCGCCCATCCTCACAAACTCTCTCACTCCCGTCCACCTCCTCTCATCTCCCTTCCTCCCCCTCCTACTCACTTTTCATAGTTCATATAAAGGAAATAGCTAAGCATTTCTAAGCATTATTCTTCAAATATCTTCTTTATTAAAAATTAAATAAATTTTTTTAATTAAATAATTCTCAAATTAAAGTTTTTTTCTCAATTAAAAATTAGCTTTTAAAATTTAGAAAAAGCTAAAAATTAAAATTTTATTTTCAGTTAAATGAAATTTTCCAATCATCTTCCCCCCAAAATTTTAATTCTTTTGTTTTTAATTTTTCCTTTTGTAATTGGAGGAAAAGAACGAGGAAGCCCTCGTTCTGTTCTCGGTGAGTTAATCTTTAAGAGAAAATTTTTTGGCTAGCTACCCTAATATTTTTTATTTACACATTCGGAAGCTAAAAGAGAAGCCCTTTGATTGAAAAGATTTCAGCTTATAATGAGTGTATCTTAAATAAGGGTATCACTTAGAGGGTGTATGGAAGTAGAAGGGAGGAAGAGAGAGCACAGTGACCAGCTAAATTAAAAACAATCCTTTAACAGACATTTTTTTACAAATTTTTAACAGAAAGGAAAGCCTTAGCTACCAAATATGTAAGAATCATTTTGGCATCAAACGCGCCACCCTTCCATTTGGAAAAGTTAGAAAAGGATTATCCAATACAAAAGACTCAGAAAGGTCAGGATGACCACATTTCGACAGGGCTATTAAATCATGGCTCTCATTCGAATCGAAAGCGACAACGCCAATCAGAACCTGATGAAAATATTAAAAAACCAAAAGCTTCTGTTGATAATGAACAATGGATAATTAAATCTGTATGTTTAAATTGGGGGGTTTATTTCGAATTAATTCTTTAATTAAAAAAAGGCTTCTGGTGGATTGGTTACGGCAGTTGAACCAGTAATAAAAGCAAATAAAGAAAATGTTTGGGTCTTCCATGTGACACGTAAATATTTACTTAAAAATTATAAAATTCCAAGTAAAAATATGGGTAATAGTTTGGTTCCGACACTATTTTTTCCTGATTTCATTTGCAGCATCATTTCTCTTTTTCATTTATTACTTGAATCAACAAAGTTATGAACATTTGTTTTAATCACTTGAAGAGTCGGAAGTTTTTCCAATGAGGATTAGGTTTCCAGAATCACCGAAACCAATTTTGGTATCATTTGCCTAGCTTAAATAAACATGAAAGTGGGGTGGGAGGAGTTAAACCAAACTATTACTGCAACAATACATAATTAGCTTCCATTAACTGATGGAGGATTTTGATATATCGTTTTGAATTACTATTACTAAAATAGATAATTAAAAAATACTTAGAAAAAGTTGGTGATACTTTGGCATATTTAATATTATAATTTAATTATTTAGCTAGTGATCCTGAATACATATCTACTCCAGAAAAAGACCCAAAATTTATGTCTATTGAAGCGTACAAGAATTCAGAAAAATCAACCTTTGGGTTATCTCCGGTAATTTAAAAAAAATTACAGTATTCTTAAAATAATTTCCGAAATATTTAATGAATTTTTTATGAAATCCTGCGAAAAAATTCAATGTTAAAATAAAATTATAATTCTAAAGGTTCTGATTGATATTGAGAATTTTGATAAATTCTACAAAGGAATGAGCAATAACATTTTATGGCCAGCATTTCACAATATACTTCATAAAATTGTTGTTAACATTAAAGATTATAATACAAATCTTGAAGGTATGTAAGGATCATTTGAAAGGATTAAAAATAGTTAAAGATTTGACTAAGGCAAATGGTAGGGGGTGGCTAACACATACAGAGCGAAGGAGTTTAGCAAAAGTTTAGAAACAGGGCAGGATTCGAACCTGCAACCTCCTTGCAGTTATTGCTAGGCGCTTTCGCTCACCGCTTATAGGTTACAGATATAGCTGATAGCTCACTGAGTAGCTCACTTATAGCTTACTTATACTTATACTCACTTATAGCTCACTCACTCACTTATATCTCACTCACTCACTTATAGCTCACTGAGCTACCGGAGCATCGACTAATGCTTTCTCTTTTATTATTTTAGATCGTTTAACCCCCGTTTAACCCCGTTTTAAATGCTGCTAGGTGAATCATCCTTACAAGAGTGATAAATCTCAGGTCTACTTCTAGCTCCGGATTAGCCTATTGTTCTAATACGTTTATAAAAACGGATAAAATTGCTATATTTTTTAGAGTATAGAAAAGTGAATAAACAATTTGCGAAAACAATTCTTGAAACGAAGCCAACAGAAAATGATTTTATCTGGATTCAAGATTATCATTTATTGTTTGTTGGGGAGTATTTAAGAGAAATTGAAGTTGAGAATGCTAAAAAATCTCTGGAGCGAACTAAGAAGCATTTGATTAATGATAAGAAAGCTTTGGTGAATGCTAAGGAACCTTTGAAATTGGGATTCTTTTTGCATACACCTTTTGAATTAACTAAAGATTTTGTTTTAAACTTCAAAAATTTTGAAGGGGAATTCGAAAGTTTGACTAAAGAAATCATAAAAGGAATGCTACGTTTCGATAAAGTTGGGTTCCAAACAAAAAAGGATCGCGATATTTTTGTCTACTGGGCAGAGGTTATTGAAAAAATTTTAGATAGTGATTAAGTTTTTTTTATTTTTAGTATTTTTATATGGAAAATGTACAAAAAACTGTACAAAAAACAGAGGAAAATACAATTATTAATTTAAAAATTGAAAATATTACACCGAAAAATGGATGTAATTTGGGT